CGGTGGCCCGCGTGGCACCCAGCGTGCTCGGATCTCAGCACAGACAGCAGAGGGTGCCACGAGTGAGGGTGACCTCCCAACCACCATACAGACCCCCTGGAAGTCAGCTTTGCTCCGGAGGGGAAACTGAGGAGTGGGTCGCCCATTAAACGTGCATGTGGTAAGTCCTCCCGTTACAGGACAGGTCAGAGGTTCGCTTTCGCTCCCCACGTCCCCTTTTTGGGACCTGCTCCATAGAATGGTTTGGGTTGGAAGGGACCTCGAAGATCATCTAGTTCCAACCCCCCTGCCATGGGCAGGGACACCTTCCACTACACCAGGTTGCCCAAAGCCTCATCCAACCTGGCCTTGAACACTTCCAGGGATGGGGCTTCCATGGCTCCTCATCACTTTTTCCACAGAATCTCGTAAGAGGAAGGAAAAGGGAGGGAGCAGAAGGTAGCAGGAGCAGGAATTGTGTGTGTTGTAGCTCCAGCTGTGCTGTTGCAGCACACCCCACGAGATGAGAGTGCCAGCACAGATGGCCCAAGTGCCCTGACACTACTCCCTTTGCAGCTGGCACCGTCTTACTGCAATCAGCAGTGCCCCGGCTGTCCCAGCTGAGCCCAGGCAGGCAGGCAGCAGCATCACGGTGAGGGCAGCATGAACAGATGTTCTCCATTCCCTCAGAAAGTGTTTTTGTCTCCCACTCTCGAGCACATTTTGAGCCGCGCAGAAGGCAGACAGTGATGGAGTGACCATTTCATCCACACCGTGCGGCTGCTGTTCCCAGGTTCTGTGTTGGATAACCCGGGGCATGAGCAGAGCTGCCCCATGCTGGGTGAGATGCCTGTCACTGCCTGACTTTGGAAAGAACACTTGACCTTGATGCGGGAATTCTAAACCACAGTTAGGCAGCGGCTGGTCTGCGTCCCATCTGCAAACGCTGCTCCCAGGGGTCTGGGAGGCTCCTTGCAGTGACAGTTTTCCTTACACGGCTTTAGCAAGCGTTTCAGTTGGGCCCTCTGTGACCTACAAGGAAAAGCATTCCAAGCCTGCAGTACGTCACCCTTGTCCCAGCTGAGGGGGCACCAGCAGCACCCACCTTTACCAGTATCAGTCTCACTCACAGGCAGGTGTTAAAGCTCTGACTTCACTGACTACGTTATCGGTGCAGTAGAATCCATACTAAGATGTCACAGGAACTACTAGTTGGAGAAAGTAACCATCAAAACACACAGTAAACTGGCATCCCAAGGCAACTCTCCTGGGCAAAACACTTCAGCACAGGTTCACTGCCCTTAGCCAGCCACGTCCTCAACTGCTGTCACACCTTCCCTCGCGTGAAGAGCTACCCACCAAACTGCTCATCTTGCTCCATGCCAGGAATATTTTACCCTTGCATAATAGCCAAAAGAGGAAGCAACAAAAACAGGAGCTAAATTTTTCCTCCATGCTTTCCTCAGCAACTGACACTGGGCCACGGAAAGAGAAAAGCCACTGGGAAAAGCACAACGTGCTGTTAGAGACGTAACCCAGCGTGCACTGACCTGGTACCAGGCGTTGTAGTTGTAGGCTGCCTGATTGACCTGCATGTCTCCGTCCATCATCTGTGCTGATGCCAGCGCTGCGTCGTCTGTGAGCATTTTCTTTTCATCTGGCTCCTCTGATCTGCGAAGGGAACGTTTGCTGTAAGTGCTATCCTAGATCCAGTTCTGAGCATGTCTCCGCGTGAGAAATGGTGTAGCAGGCACGGTTAAGTCATATTCCCATATTCCCAAACATGGGGCCCTGGCCAAACAGGGTAAAAGAATGGGATTTCCAGAAAGACAGTAGTGTATTGTGCTTCAGAACAACAGTCTGGTGCTCAGACTGAGACAGCAAAAGCATGTTTCTGCTTAGAGACTCACTATTTCTACCAGGACTGTTCAACTTCCGTGACACAGAACTCAAAAAGCTATTTCCAACAAATCTGTTGCCAAATGTATTAGCCAATGGTATAGCCCTGTTTAGTTTATATTTTACGTGATTAAAGAACAGTGATTTTGTTCTTGCAAGCAGCAGGTTTAAACCTGAAAAATACAGACGTGTAGATTAAAAAAAGAGAAGAAACCACCATCTCATCTCCAAGACTGTCCTCTGAACTATTTTTAAAGCATCTCCCAAGGGCTTTGTATGGGCTGTAGTTCAGTGCAGTACGTGTTCCAGCTACCCCTTCCTGCATCACCTACCAAGTAAGTTTCCACTCTCGGGTGAACAGACTCCTTACCCGTTCTCTGCTCTCCTCTTTAAAGAATCCTGCTCCTTTAGAAGTGCTTGATGTTCATCGTAGGCATCCAAAAGCCTGAAGGAGACAAAAAATAAAATAAAAATAAAGGAGACAAAATAAAAATAAAGCTTTGCTCACCATTTTCATGTAAACAGTTTAAACACGAGGAACCATTTTAAAATGTCTACCTCAAACTAAAAATACAGAAACCTTAATCTAAACCAAACTCAACTGTAATCAAATGTTAATCAGTGACCCACCATGAAGATGGGAAAGCCAAAAACCTTCATCTGAAGGGGGATTCCACAATGCATAGTGAAAAATTTTCTGTTAGCTCAGAAATTCCCAACTTGCTCAACTTTTATCACAGTTCATGCCATTCTTTTATAAAGTTCCTTTATAAAGAAGTTTTCAGAAACTTTTTTGTGCTACAGCTGCTCCTTCCAGTGACTGCACTGATGCCATCCATAGCAGCATTGATATTTAGGAATCAACATTTCTTTCAATACTAGAAATGAACATTATACAAAATTATTACCATTCCAAAGCATCTCCGACAGCCTTTTCCCAAACAACATAGGAAGCATAAGTATATTTAATGCAGCACAAAAGACTTATATTTTTAACAGAGCAAGTAAAACCATGTATTGCTGAGTGAAAGAGGAACACTTCTGTTTCCTAGCTAAAATTCCTACGAATAGCTAAATATCATTTCATCTGCTGCACCCTCCAGTTTACAAGGTTTCACATGAAAACTGCTGCTTCTGTCAATATTACTCTCAGTGAAAACCATTTCTGGTACTTATTCTGTGCTCCAGTATTATTTAGGAATGAAAAACTTTTGTTTGGTCTACCTAGGATCCCAAATCCCCAATGCTTGGCTGCTATGCAAGTTAGAACGGTCAGTCAGCAGAAATTAGAGACAGCTATTATTAAAAACCTACAAAGCAGGAAAACTAACTCATGGTTAGTCCTTCCCAGTTACCTAGCTGAAAAACGTAAGCAAAACCAAGCACTTGTTGTACAGTAGAGAATTAAGAGGAAAAAAGTACATCTACTATTTTTAATTAAAAAGTTGCACTTCTACTATCTGATCCTCCTACGTAAGTGCCCAGCGTCGTTAATACTTGTGAATACAGAAAAATCAAATCAGCTCAGTTTGAGACCTCAAGCTGCAGCTCACAGGTTATGGAGCATCGAATTGTACCTGTGTCACAAAACACTTCACGTGCTCTCTCGGGAGCATCGTCCGTTATCAAACTGAGCAAAACCACAGCAAGAAGTCACAGGCAGCACAATTCTGCTCTATGAGGCATTTGGTAGTTCAGAAAAAAAGGGGTAATTTTTTGAAAAGAGATTCCTATTTAAAAACAGGAATTTGGTTTAGAAAAGCAGCTCATCCCTCAACAAAGAAATGACAGCACAAAAACCACTTTAAAGGATGCCACTAGCCCTATCCCCTTCCCTGTGACTTCTACAGGTACTCTTCTGGTCACCCTAATTCCGCCATTGCACAGATTACATCTTACTTGGTCACATCAGAACCAAAATCTTCCAGAAATTCCACTTTTCGCTGAGAAAACGTAATCCTCATTTTTATAGACAAGGCGCCATTGACAGCTTTATCAAAACAGCTCAAGATGTTTTCTTCGTTCTGCTTGAGATCGCCACTGTACTCCATCTCGAGCAAGTTGAGATACAGTTTCGTGTTTTCCTGCGCAAAAGATGTGTTAGAAGTTGTACATCCCTCACGTCAGGTATTAACACATGCCTAGAGATGCATATGGAATGTTTACATCGTACATACACGCTACACTAGTCAATAAAAAGCTTCTCTTTCTGTACTGGTCACCTTTGACCTGGTTCGTTTCCCAGGTGGATGAGAAGTGACCTAACGCTACAAAAACAGAGGCAAAAACTTTGCTAATAAGAAGCTAATAGCATTTGGAGTGCCAAATATTTTTGTGGTTGCACAAACCCATCTACGAGTACTGCCTACGTGATGGATTTTGTTCACACGCCCACAACACTCAAGATTCTAAAAAGGAAAAACGAAGGTAGGAAGCACGTTGCGCTTCTGACAAAAAAAGTTTGCAAACTTCCAGATTTGCAAGCTGCAAATACGGCAACATCAGTTTAGAGGGACTGGTGTCTCCATGGAGCAATGAAACATTACGTACAGTTACAACTCCTGTCATCATCGTTGCCAAATTTTTTTTAAAAAAGGTTCAGAAAAACACCAGGATCTGTTTGTTTGTTTGTTTTTAATACAGCAAAGAGGGAACACATACTTTGTCAATTTCTATGGCTTCTGACAGCACTTTTCTTGCCTTTGGAAGGTTTTTCTGTACTTTGAAGAGGTGTCGAGCTAGTTTGATGGCATAAAACGACGACTCGCTAAGCGATTTGGCATTCCTAACAGCCTCTTCGAGCAGGTGCTCAGCTTCTTCCATGTTTCCGTGTCTGCGCTCTAAGCTTACTCGTCGCAAACGAATCATTGCTAGCCCTAGAATACACTCTTCAAATGTTTTCAAGATTCTTCTTGCTTCATCGATGTTGCCTAAAACACCGGTGAAGATGCTTTAAGATATGAGACATCCGACAGCCTCTTAAAACCAGAATCCCTCCCAGCAAAAACCAGCGGTGCTCTTACCCTGCTGCTCCTCAAAGGCAGCCCACAGCATGTGAACCATTGGTTTCTTAGGAAGATGTATTGTGCAAGCCCTGCTGTAGACATGCCTCACTCCTTCAATACTATGATTCTCCATGTATTTGGCATACTATAGTTGAAAACAGAGCAGAGATTGACAAATTTAAAGCTTGCATTTGTCTTTAAAAACATGCCAGAACGATAAAATTCTTTTGTTTAAACCCATTCAGCACCTTTATTGAACCACTAGACTAGTTTCTGTAAGGAAGGACGTAGAGAGGCAACGAAGTTGGCATATGCAGCAGTCAAATCTGGTTGCAAGCAGACCATCTCCTAATGCAACAGATATAGTTATACATGAACAACGTTCCACAAGAGTACAAAAGGTTAGTCACTAGGTCAATGTATGCAATCGGGAGGAGAGAGGTGGTAAACCACTTCCCTTACCTTAATCCAGAAGTCCTCATAGAGGGCACATGAAATAACACATCTTTCAAAGAGGACCACGACTCGCTCATGAGTGCCGTTTTCGATCTCAAATTCTAAGTACTCTTTCCAGTTTTTCAGCTGAATTTTCTCCAGAGGTTTTACATGAAAGTAAGGCCTCTTTATCTGCAAGAGTCAGAGTACGGCAACGTGTGACTAGTGACACCGAGTTGCTCAAAAAACTTCAACAGCCACACACCATTAAGTAATGGCATTTAAATAAACAGGCCTTTGGAATGACACGTCATTATCTAGTCACACCAATCTGCTGGGTGACCCAAGGATCGATGAACAGTTACATCCTAGGCTGGTAACTTGGTTTTCTGCAAAGCTTTTTGAGTGCAAGTGTTCAGAGAAGCTGAGGAAGAGCTCGGTGCAGCTACTCCCTTGCAAACCTGCCGTCACGACGCTGACGACGACACCACGGGTGTTCTCCACACACATGCATACGATGAAGTACTTATGGGTGTGCTAGTGCACATCCTACACATCAAATCCGAAATCTGCTCCAGAATCATGGCGAGGAAACACACAGCACTGAACTGAATACTAAACATTTGCAATAAGCTGATTGTTCCAAGAGCTAGCAAGATCGCATTCTTACTGACGACGACAGGAGGAGCAGGGAGGGACAGAGTTCAGCACAGAAAACTTAAACAGTGCTTTGAACTGAACGTAGCGAAGCACCCTTCCAGAGATGATCTGCTTTTGCTCTTTCATCTTTAATTTCACCTGATTATTTGTCTTCTGTACTGCAATTTCATCTCAGATGCAAATGTATAAAGAACTTAAAATCATTAAGGAGTAACATTCGATTCTTCAAGGCCACCTGAAATCTAGAGCCAATTGTTCCTTTCATGCTCCTCACTGAACTCTACTACAGACCCCAATTCTCCTTCTCCATTTTGACAGGTTCACGGGCACATGGATCCTGCTAAAACAGCAGTCAAACAGGTCTAAGCAGCCTCCACAACTTACGTGACATCTCTTGCCTATCTACCTCATTTCTGCCCGTTATAAAGACAGGTTTGTCTCTGCATTTCAACTCCTTACAAACCCAACACCATGGTATCTACAGAGCAGAAACACTCCTGGTAGGAAAAAGTATTGATTCTGGCCAGGAACAAGAGAGGACACACTGTTTCTTACACATTTCCTGCTGCACAGCCACAGTTTCAGCACTGTTTCGTAGCTTAATTAGGAATAGCTACACTCACATAACCATTTTCCTCAACACGTGAGCACGCCTGAGCCTCAACTACTCGGGGGACACGCTCTGCCTGCTCTCCTTCCTT